AGCTTTCATGTAGTATTACTATACAATAAGATGAAAGGTTTTGTAAGTGTTATTCCAATTTTAGGCCAATGTTATATATATCATATTTCATCCAGGAACTAAAAAAAACTTTATGCCAAGTTACTAACATTGAGGGGGAGTAACACGGTCAGAATGTACATGGACCTACCTTGTAGCACGRTTTTATCCCAATAGTCTTTTGCAGCGAATCGATTGCATGTTAACGCCCAAAGAAACCTAAACAGCGACTCAGTATTCTCAGAACTTCGATGTTTACGACTTTTTTTTTCTAGGAATTCTAGGAAGTCTTACCAGGAGGTTACTGGAATTAGAGACTAATTTGCATCCAAAAGCGTAAACAAATACAGTACAGCTGTAGTAGGGTCGTCACGCAACGCTACTCTCCGCATCAACAACGTCTGCGAAGGCGGCTAGATCGCAATATAATATATTAATTTTTCTATAAATCGATTCAGAGACTCATACGTTGACTCTTCAGGGTCGTAGCCACCATTTGGACAGTGGTACGGCTTAAAAAAAGTGGTSCGATTTTTGAAATTTATATATATATATATTAGTGCATTTTTTTATATAATTTAGTTTTACTTTTTAATGGCAGTTAGTTTAGGGCAACGACGCATTAGAATAGATGAATATACAAAAGGAAGGCGCGTGTCAAAATTCATTCCTGCATACTACCTGTTTTTCTTGGAAATGTAGACTAATGTCACGTCACGCGATCCAAAAAAGACAAGGAAACAGTAGATAGAAACTATGAGTTCACAAACGCAGACACAGACGCAGCGAACTCAAGCATGTTAACAGTCTGGGATTCGCTCCAGATCTGGAGCGGTATTACGTCACGTTTCTATTGTTTTCTGCTTCGATGTAAACATTGCAGTCACGCGGACGAGTACAAGTGAACGATATCTCGAGTACTTTTTACGGTTCTGAAGGTTTATTTAAGTGCTGCAAATGAATGTAAGAGCAATTTTAATCAAATATTCATGGAAATTTAATAATTTTTTTGAAAAGGTCCAGTATTTGTTTAAAATAGAGCCAAACAGTAGGTCCCGGTTTTTCGAAGATCTTGTCAATCTTCAAAAGTAGTACGAGGCTTCCACTCGATTGGAACAACTGTTGTGCCGTATCTTCTTTTCATGTCGAACTCATGCTTTTCTTTTAGGGATATTAAGTGACATTTCACACAAAGAAACCTCGGATGAATGTTTGGTGAATCCAAGGACAAGTTCATTGACCATGCAATTTCAAATGAAATGAGTCGACCCGGTTTCACGGCAATTTCCGACCTTGTCGTCGAAAGCAATAGAAACGTGACGTCACGACCGCTCTCCAGATCTGGAGCGAAGGCCTGGGATTTTGTTCAGAGGAGGATACACTAGTATCCCAAGTTACTTTGCGAGTTTCGTTTTCCAATATGGCGTCGCTTTCTACTCGTGCGTAGCGGTGTGCGACTTTCACTTTCCGTAGCAGCCGTTACATGACCTGTACGAGGCAACAAGAACTCATGAACTTGTATTGTTTATTAAAAATACTCTTAATCTACATACATATTTGTTTGGATTTGCGCCAATTGTAAGAGTTATATCGCTCGAGTTCACTTTGTCACGCGGTGTCATACCTGATGTCATATTGGATTTTATATGGTACATCAAGTAAATGCTGCTTTTCACTTATTTGAGAATTTTACGTTTAAGCAACAAATATGTGTAATTCAGATATTTAGGAAAAGCAAAACCTTGAAATGAGCAAAAGTGACCCATGATTTATAGTCTTTTGGACAGTCACAATTGAAGTATATTTACGAGAATTTATCGCAAACGCGACTCGTAAAAGGTGTGATATTTTTTGCCCATTTCATACAAAACAAAAATATTTAATAAACCTTACTTACTCCTATACTAGAAGTTGAAGTACTAGGCGAATAAGAGCTGGGCTACGGGACTATATTGAACAAGTAATCCATCGAAGAGTTGTCACTCGTTGTTGTTGGAACGAGAGCGACACGTCTCTTTCTCAATTTCTCCAAAAAACTGACGTGAACGAGTATAAAAACGACTTGTACTCCTTCAAGGCCGGGTAAACGAACAGAAAAATCATCTTTTGAAACACAATGATCATACAATAATGAAATATCTTGAAAAGCATTTGCCGAGTCTGAACACCGCCATCATGTCGTGCACTCTAAGCCGGTCAAACCAAAGTGATTACGTCACGAAAAAGTGATAATATAGTATCAAACGCAATGCATTCTGGGATACTAGTGGAACCTCCTCTGGATTTTGTTCAAAAGGGCAAAAATTACTTTTCACTGTAGATTCTTCATTTTAAATTGTAAATGAATGAGGTTGCAACAGTTATCCTTATTTCGGGTGCTTAACTTTTTGGATGGATAAATTTGCATAAAAGGTGGTCACGTGACCTTAAAAGAGGGAAAATGCTAAATTGAAAACTGGGCGATGGTTTTAGATTATTTGTGAGATTTCTTTAGCTTTTTTAAAAGAAGCGACAAAAATACAGATATTCACGTTTGGAATGGTCGACCAAAATGTTTACGAAAGGAGAAAAATGATAGAGAATTGGGTCATAACCCAGGCCTTAACATACTTGTTTTTTCGACTTCCGGCGCCAAACATGGCGGCCACGAATTTGATGTCTGGCTTTTGGTTCTTCTTTCCCATTTATCAATTGGATAATAACTATATTATAAGTAGTCTTAATTTTCAAATTTCTTCAAATCTATCATCAGTTTTTTTGAATAATTTCATGAATAAGTTCGTGATAATGCCTCCTTGGAACGGTTTGTCCGTTAAAATCTAAACGTCAAATAACTTCTGGTTTCTTCAAAACAAAACATGCTGTTATGAAGACTTCTAAACATGGATTCACTTCGCTTTGTATTCCTGGTCATGATCCTCCTATTGACATTACAATCGGTATGGATATTCATCCTAACCTAACCCTGGACCTGTTTTACCTTTTGGCACCGACTCTGACCTTCATCGTCGACATTCAAATTCCACATCTGCTTCGTCTGTATCTTCTTCATTATCTTCATCTCATGGCTGTCTTTCTTCATCGTCCTCAATCTCGTCCATGAATATCGTTGTTGGATTTGATGCTTTTCCTCCGTTGTCAATCGGCCTCACTTGCAATCTTCGGAGGCTTCTGTACAATTTCTTCTGGTCAAGTTGTTTTGAATTCGACCCGTTGGTACTGAATTCAAATATGCAGATTCTTATCAGTTGTTTGGAGCGGAGGAGCAAATTCTCCTCTCTCCGGTAGACAGCGTAATCGATGCGTCGATATGAGCGAAGCGTTGATTGGCTGATTCAAACTAGGCTGCATATTTCGAATTCCTTCCGTCTCGAGTGAGTCCTCTATCCTTTTACGGTGGCCAAAAAGGTTGAAAATCCTGCCTTTTCTGATAGAAAGAATTTGTCTATGAGCGTGAAACTCTTAGGATCTCTTCCATCGTGCTGTGGTATTTTTTGTGTGAGATTTTTCTTGGATTTGAATTCTGATGGGCTAGATCGAGCGGTGGTCGAATTTTGTTGCCTGCCTTCCCCTTCCTTCTCCTCTCTCACACACACAAACATAGCTCACGCCAAACGTCAAAAACCGGCCTTAAAACGCATCGGACGAAGAAATAACACTCAAATTTCATGAAGTGAATGACTAACCGTTATTTTGACGGTATTTAATTCTTAGGAAGTCTTCAGAAGATGTATTTTTGAGAAGCTGAAATCACTCGATAATTCAAAATTTTATTAACGGGCGAACGCCACAAGAGATCACAGGGAGCCCACACATCCGAAACCACAGATACTTCGGATGGTAAGCCTGTGGTCAGTATCGTGGCAAACGTAGCGGTTCTCGCTTTCCCCGTCGCTCTCAAGCATCAATATAATTAAATCTGGTCATCTTGCTACTCCTGYTAATCATAATCTCAAGTTTTTTCTTCTCAATTCAAGATCTATTAATAACAAATCACTACAAGTCAAAGATTATGTGGTCGAAAGAAATATTGATGTTCTTGCTTTAACTGAAACTTGGCTTAAAAACACTGCTGATCGTGACTTTGTTATCCGTGATGTTTGTCCTTCTGGTTATATTCTCTCCCATGTATCGTCCTGGTGGTGGTGTTGGTATCATGTACAAAGTAATCTTAAGTTTAAACTTTGTGACTGCAATTCTTCGTTTGAATCTTTTGAAATTATAGAACTCTTGCTTCACTCGTGTTCTAATATATTTCGTTTCGTCGTTATCTACCATCCACCCTCTGCTCAAGTCTTCGCTCCTGGAACGCTTAGTCACTTCTCCTGGTCATCTGCTAATTTCTGGTGACTTTAATTTTCATGTTGATGACATAAATAACAAACCAGCTAAATAATTTCTAGAACTGCTTGACTGTTTTAATTTACATGTTCTGGATTGCGTTACTCCTACACACAGAAATGACCATGCCCTTGACCCGTTATGATCACAAGATCTGATGAAAAGCTTGTATCTCATCATTTCGTTCATAATCCTGTCCTATCCGATCACTATGCTGTACATTGTACATTACCCTATCATTACCTATATATTTTATGAAATCAAACAAAAAATTCTTAATTTTCTATAAATTCCAATAGATAAAGCGTAGTCTTGTGAACCATATGGTATGGTACATTTTTTTGTGTCAAAATTGCAGTCGAAACGTCTTTCTACAAATGACCTTCAGTCGTGAGACAAATGAATAAGTATCATTTATGATGGTATCTTTCTCATACCTTGTGTTCCTGTGGCAGTCTTCCGCTGTTCCGCTTCCAATGTCCGCTGTTGTATGACTAAAGCTGACAAGTTGCACGCACCCCGAAATACAGTGATCACTTCAAAAAGCCCTCTGTTCAGTCTCGTGCTGTGTCCTACCGCAAGATCCGTTCAATCAATTTAGATGCCTTTTGCCGTGACATTACTGATTCTTCACTGTGTCTATCTCCTGCTACTGATTTATCTGATCTATGTTCACAATATGACTGTCTTATCTTCGATTGTAAATCATCATGCACCCTTAAGACGCAAATCTTTCTCTGTTCGACCACGAGCTCCCTGGTATAATAATAAAATTAAAGATAACAAGACTAAACGACGAAATCTCGAACGACGCTGGCGACGAACTAAACTGACAGTTGACCGTGAATTGTCTGTTAATCAATGCAAACTTTTTAAGAAACTTATTTTTCAAGCTAAAATGATTTTTTACTCCTAATTCAAAACTTTAAAACTAATTCAAGATGCCAATTCTGACTTTAATGCCTTCTTCCGTTCTGTCATAATCTTCTTCATCGCACTCCAGAAAAAAAACTTCCATCTGAGGTCCTTGCCAATAATTTTGTACACTTTTTCAAGAATAAAATCATCAACATCAAGATAAGTTGTCATCTCGCACTCCTGCCAACTCTGTATCTTTTGCTCATCTGGACTCACCACCTCTTCAATGTCACTTGGATTCATTTGTACCCACATCTCCAGAAGAATTGTCTAACGTTGCCAAACGACTGTTATCAAAATCCTGTGATCTCGATCCCCTCCCTGCATGTCTGCTTCGTAGTCATCTTGGATTGCTTCTACTTATCATCTGCAATATTGTTAATTCGTCTCTTCTCACTGGTTCTGTTCCCTCTTCGTTAAAAGTTGCCGTCTTAAAACCTCTGTTAAAAAAGCCGTCTCAGATCATGAAGTTTATGGAAACTATCGTCCAATTTCTAATCTGAAAACCGTATCTAAACTCATCGAAACAGTTATGAAACTGCTCTTCTTCGTGTCAAAAATGACATTCTTCAAGCTATTGATAATCGCTCCTGTGTTGTCTTGCTTCTCCTTGATTTATCTGCTGCCGTTTGATACCGTAGATCACAAAATTCTTCTTAATCGTCTTAATACCAAATTTGGAATTGGTGGTAGCGCTCTGTCATGGTTCCAATCCTACCTCTCTAATCGTACAAAATTTGTCTCTCTTGATGGTGCCTTATCTGAATTTCTCCGGCTTTATTGTGGTGTACCTCAAAGTTCTGTTCTTGGTCCAATATTGTATCTGCTTTACACTTCACCAGTTGCTAATCTCCTTCGTAAACATAAGATGTCTTTCCACCTGTATGCTGATGATACACAACTGTATATACCATTTTGTTGTAATGATGCTTTTTCCYTTGATCATGCCATGACTCTAATTGAAAACTGTCTTGCTGACATTGGATGACTTTGAACAAACTTAAACTGAATAAAGACAAGACTGAATTCTTAATCTTCTCTTCCAAGCACAATCCTCAAAGATATTTTCCTGTCCTCCACTTTGGCTCTGATGTAATTAATTGTTCGTCTCAAGCTCGAAATATTGGTGTTATTCTCGACTCTACATTGTCTATGGTCCCACACATCAACAATACTTGCAAATCTGCCTTCTATCATCATTCCAAGACCACAGAAATACTTGTTCATGCATTCATCACTTCAAAACTCGATAACTGTAATTCTCTTCTGTATGGCCTTCCCAAAATCTCATTAACAAGCTTCAAGCTGTCCAGAATGCATCTGCTTGTCTGATCACCTTGTCACGCAAACATGATAACATAACTCCTGTTCTCATTGATTTACACTGGCTTCCTGTGGCTGAAAGAATCAAGTTTAAAATAATTTTGCTTACCTTCAAAGCTTTGCATAATCTCTCTCCTGTCTACATCCAAGATCTCATCTCTACCTATAAACCTTCACGCAATCTTCGATCGTCTTCTCATCTGGCTCTAAACTTCAAGTCCTACAATCTTCAATCTTATGGTCTAGGTTCTTTTTCTGTTGCTGCCCCTAAACTTTGGAACATGCTCCCGTCATCAATAAGAGACACTACTAATTTGGCTTCATTCAAATCACAACGTAAGACTTATTTGTTCAAATTAGCTTTCAAATCATAGTTTTTGCTTTACTCTTTCGTAGTTTAACCTTAATTTATTTTGAACATTTTCATCATCCTTTATTTTCAAAGCGCTTAGAACAGACTTGTGTAAGCGCTCTACAAGTTTCTATATATTATTATTATTATATTGAGAAGGCGGTCGGCCACATCAAAATGTGCTCTTTAAAGTTTGAGCCAAAACGGCACCGAATGGTTTCAATTCTCACCACTTTATGCCTAATACTGAATATAGTTGTCCAGGAATCACATACAGTATGTACAGTTTTAGAAGTCAAACCAACAAATATATGTCGAAGGAATACCTGGACAAAGAATATACTTCAAGAACTACAAGTCAAGGCTCGAGCAAAACATTAGCTAAGTAGCCGTACACTTTTACACGGCTAAGAGTGTCTGTTCTTTTCAAATTGAAAGGGAACTTCTTGCCTGTGGAGACATCTCAGTTAACCCTGGCCCTGTCAAGCGAGTTCCAAAGTTTCCTTGTGGAGAATGCAAGAATGTAAGAAGTAACCAAGACGCCATTTTGTGTGCAAATTGTAATACATGGTCGCATGCCAAGTGTTTGGGAATGTCTACGCTTTTCAGTATTACTTAAAACATCCAGATATAGATTGTAGCTGTGTATTTTGTGCTCAACCGATATGTAATGCCTCTTTTTGTTGAGGATAATTCTTCTGAAGAGTTCATAAACAGCCCTACTGAAACATCTCTAGTAGAGAGTGGAACGGAACAGCATAACCATCTACCACCGGAACAATCAGATCTACCTGATAATGTCCATCTAGAATCTATACGGTGTCATATCAAGAAAGATATTATGATGTGCCATATCAATATAAATAGTATTCAAAATAAATTCGAAGAACTTGGAAACATCATTAAAAAACTGTTTTATATTATGCGCACAAAATATTTGTTAGTGACACCAAAATCGACATTAGTTATCCAGATCGTCAATTTTCCATCCCTGGCTTCCGGATGTACAGGAATGACAGAAAAAAGGGCGGCGGAGGAGTTATGGTGTATATTTCTTCCACTTTGACTTGTGAGAGACTGAAGTTGGAAAAAAGTTACAAAACCATTGAGYCCATCGCTACTGAAATCAAGACCGATAACAGGAATATTGTAATTCTTGGAATTTATAGATCACCGAAAGTTCTTTCAGGAGATTATCAAACACAATTGGAAAATGAGCTTATATAGTGATATCTGTAACTGGGCTAATCTTCAATATAATTTCGTAACACTATTGGGAGATTTAAACTTGGATATAGGATGAAACCAGACACAAGTGAAGGTAAATTATTATCATTGAATGTCTTATCACGCAACCTACAAGCATCGCCAATAGTGGGACAAAGACGACCAGTACTCTCATTGATGTATTGTTAAGCAATAGACCTGATCTTTTCAAGCATAGTGGAATTTACCACCCATCATTAAGTKACCATTGTCTAATCTATGGAATCCTAAGGGAGAAAATTGTATCTCATCAGTCGAAAGGCGTAACATTTAAAAGTTATAAAAACTTTGATGAAAGTGACTTTCAAGAAAGTCTGTCAATAGCTCCCTGGCATGTGGGTGAAATCTTCGACTATATAGTGACGAAGCCTATTATTGGAGTACGCTATTGCAAAATGTGGTTGATGAGCACCTTCCCTTAAAAAAGATGAGAGTACGTGATAAAGATGTGCCGTATATGACCACAGGCTGGAAGCAGGCGATACGTGCTAAGCGAAGGGCCACAGTGAAATATTAAAATAGTCCTACCAAAGAAAACTGGGGAAATAAAAGGAGATGCAGAAATGAGGCAACTAGACAGAGACGTTTGGCGATCAAAGAGCATTGGAGAAAGAAAACAGAAGATCTAAAGGAAAACCCAATGGATTTCTTCAAAACATTCAAACCATTTTTATCAACAAAGCGTCATAAGAGTGATACTGAAATTCATCTGAGAGTCGATGACGTTATGGAAAAAGATCGAAACAGGGTTTCAGAATTGTTTGCTGATTACTTTGCTACAATAGCAGACGGCATTGGGGGTGATCAAAGTAAGCTAGACAAAATGGAGAACTTTAAAAATCACGCAAGTGTGTCAGTGATTGCTAATAACATTTTTAAAAAACACAACAACATGACTTTGAACCACTCAATAGCGTCCAAGTACAACRTACACTGAAAAAGCTTAATGTAAGAAAAGCTATGGGGTTTGATGGCATTCCACCTAAAATTATGAAATTGGAGCTACCCAACTTTCTACCTCTCTCTCAACCCTCTTCAATTCATGTATTAACAATCGGATTTGGCCCAGACAATGGAAACGAGGAGAATGGATTCCAACTCTTAAAAGAGGTGACGCTCAAGCGATTACTAATTACAGACCAATAACAGTGTTGCCTTGCGCTGATAAAGTTTTTGAACAACTTCTGGGGAAACAAATAACCAATATATTTGACTGGCAGCTTGCTGACTGTCAATCTGCATATAGAAAACATCGTAGTTGTGAAACCACCCTTCTTGGTCTCGTCGAAGACTGGAAAAAGGCGAAAGATGAGGGTCTATCTGTTGGTATTTTATCAGTCGACAGATATGTCCAAGGCATTTGACTCAGTTCAATCACCTTTACTGTTAAGTAAGCTGAAGTCTTATGGTTTCAACGACAATGTCATCAAAATGTTGAACAGTTACCTGAGTGACCGCTACAACAGAGTCAGGATGGGATCTACTGTAACTAGTGATTGGAAGAGAGTCGTTCGTGGCTGTCCTCAAGGTTCCTCGTTGGGCCCGCTGATATGGAATATCTTTCAGAACGACCTCGTGTATAATATTGATGCTAATATTTCTATGTATGCCGATGACCATCAAATATGCCAGAAAGGTAAAGGAATCGACTCAGTGCATACCATGCTAGAGAAAAGTGCCTCTAGTGCAACTGAGTGGTACGAAAATAATCTCTTGGAGAGAAACTTGAAGAAATATCAGGCTATGTACATTCAAAATAAATATGGTAGTAAGAAAGAACAGATGAGTWGTACAGAAGATAAAACTAGCTTGAACTTAAATGGTAGGATCATTAAGACGTCTGATACGTTGAAAATTTTAAGAAGATACAATAGATAATAAGTACTTTAATCTTAATGAGCACATCAATGATATATGTAAGAAGGCAGGTCAAAGGTTTGGGGTAATCATGAGACTGAGAAACTTAATTCCCACCACTGCAAAGTTAGTACTATTCAAAACAGCCATCTTACCTAGTATGGCATTKTTTTAGGGCTAGYGATACTCGCAGGCTGGAGAGAATCCAGGAAAGAGGATTAAGGGCCGTTTATAGGGACACAAAGTCCAGCTATAATCAGTTATTGAATAGGGCTAATCTGCCTACACTGTTAAATAGACGTCTTCAAGACATTTGTATTCTGATGTATAAAGTTCAACACACCAAGATGTGTTCCGAAGCTATTACTAACATGTTTAAACCTCGTGATTCTTGTTACAGAAACTCAGATTTTCTTATACCTAGATTTAACACAGTCACGTTTGGTAAGCATTCCCTTAGATATCTAGGTCCCATACTGTGGAGAAAATTAGACAAAAAAGACAGATTAAGCAAATCTTTAGGTGATTTTAAAAATGGCATCCGTAAAAAAAACCTGACATCTTTAATTGACAACGGATGTAGAGGGTGTTTTTTGTGTAACAGTTGAAAGGCTGATTAGGATTTTTATTACATTATTATCGAAAGATTAGAATATTTATATATTTTATATTTTATATTTATGAAATAATTTTTTAGTACTTTATTGAATTAATTTTTAGTCTTAATTAATATCGTTGTATATCTTATGATTTTATTTTATTAATATACCTTAGGTGTCCCCTATTAGTAGAGGGTTTTCCTTCAGCTAGTTATTTTCTTGACACGATAATAAAGTATCTATCTATCTATCTACCCCCGGTACCAATTCTTCGTCATGTAAAGCGCGGAGCCGACGGAGCCAGGCTACCACCCCTCCCCAACGTTTTCCGGAGCCGGTGGAGCCAGGCCCCAGACTACCCCACTCCTCCTCCTCCACAATTGGTACTGGCTGCTTTAAGAATGAATTTAGGAACAAATGAGAGGGGGCTTCTTTTCTAAAATCCTTGTTTAGTCGCAATTTTTCACTTTTGATTGGTTGATACTTATCGACCGCGGTTTTGATTGGATTACATTTCTTAGGTTGACAAGGTTAATCCCCTCTGACAAATGTTTTTTTTTGTTTAAACAGTGGGAAATAAAAGTTCCTGTTGGTTCCATTCTTAATATCTAATGTTTTCAGTGATGACGGTTTTTTTAAAGTGCCCCTGGGTGCCCTTAGTGCCTCGGTGAGCAGCGCATGAGTAAAATGAGCAGGGCAGGAGGACATCTCTATAACTATTTAACTACATTTAATAAAGTTTCATTGCACATCAGCTCTTCAGAGAAGACACATATGCCTCCAGTTCAGTGCGGTCACTGTGGAAAAATATTTTCAAGGGCTTATAACTGAAGACGCCATTTGGACAACCAAACTTGTAAACTGGTAGATGTTGAATATGATATGAAGAACCAAGTGAAGACGAAATCAGCGACCAAAGTATTGGTGAGGAAACTGAGGACGACGGTGAATCRAAAGTTAGTGATTCTTGRAGAAGACGATGATAAGTCAGTAGAGCACAGTTGGTCGGCTCTCGTAGGAGAAGCTACAGATCGTCATCAGGAAGAGTTAGAGGGTCAAATTGAAAACTACMTGCATGAAGGAWAAAGCGAAGAAAGTGCTGCAGTCAAAGCGCATAACAGTATGTTACCAGTCTTTAGAAAGGAGCTGARAAATGTTTTGTTGRAAAAGTTGGAATGGATGCGCACGCTGAAGAAAGACCCGTATTTTCGAAAAATCATGAAAACTAGACACGAACTCAKGGATGACTTTGACTGGAAAGAGGCGACACAAGATGCGATTCAACAGCGTAAACATCTGCTAAACAATTTATTTCGACCAATTAAAAATGACGAGACAGATGAAGAGGAAGATTTGTTGCGATATATATATATTATAACACAGCAAAGTTGAACTTACACTGAGGTTATCCGGCATCCTCCCATAACATATTCCAAGAATGAATAAATGCGAACGATTTGCAAGAAATAGGAAACTTTTATATACATGTRTGCAATGAATAGCCAGAGACGGAAACGCTTCTCGATTTTATGTTTTTWWAAAAACAATTTCGGTTAAACTTGTTGCAGGAATAAGCAGGTTCGGATAGATGGTTTGATATCTTAGAGACTTAATTGATATGAAGATTTCTAAGAAAAATAAAAGTGTAATTATGGTAAAGGTATGCTCAAATCTTAACGTAAATTACTAGGTTKATATTACCTGATGGTTATGATCCTAAGGTGAAGATAATACCACCAGGAAARGAACTGAAGAGATTAACTGACCATAAACGTGTGATCGACCGACGTTGTKTGCYTATGCMACGAGAACTCTGGCGCCGCGCAGGCCTATAGGTTAACTGAGAGCCGAGGGTAGATTCGTTGTAACATACCGGCCCCGAATAAGCTACTTGCTTATTTAAACTACGAATTACAATGAAGCTATCTAATGATTATGAACCGTATATGAGTTCCTGTTCCTTTAAAGTTGTCCTTTCTGCATGCACAGCTTCCTCACGTCTCTTCGTAGACTTGTGGTAGCTGTCTTCACTACTACTTGTCTGACCATTCCATGSTTGTCGGTATAAACCTCTTCGACGATGACCTTAGGCCAATCTCCTCGTTTCACTCTGTCATCAACAACTAGTACGAGATCACCGACCTTGAAGTTGCGTTGAGGAACTATCCACTTCTGCCTGAGATGTGGCGTCGGCAAATATTCACTATTCCGCCTTTCCCAAAAGGCGTTAGATACGGATTGAGCTGCTCTCCAACGCTTGTTGTAGACATCATCTTTAGCAATAACATCCAACGGTAGACTGGCATTACCCTTTAATAACAGAAGCTTGTTTGGTGTCAGTGGCTCTGCATCAAAGGGATTGTCTGTGACAGGTGTTAATGACCTGATCATGCCCTCCCTCACTCCTCCTTGATGACTAGCTTCAAGTGGGTTAAAATGCCATTGAACTTCATCACGGTGAAGGCGGTCATTTATCTGGACTTGAATCCAACGTTGTAAGGCTTCAAGTAGTTCTCTCTCTGCGCCTTTGAAATTGGTGCCATGATCGCTGAAGATTTCTTTCGTAACAACACGTCTTGCCACAAATCGTTGATACGCACATATAAACGAGTCACTTTCCAACGTGTGCGCAATTTTGATTTGCAGGGAAAAGCAGGTAAATAAACAGCCGTAGCGCTTTACTTGACTGCGTCCTTGCTTCACATTCAAGGGACCGAAATAATCTATTCCGACCCTTGTAAACGGAGGTTCTGAGGGAACTAGTGTTGCGGCTGGAAGTGGAGCCATCATTTGTTTACCAGGTTGAAGCGGAGAATCCACGCTACAGCCTTTTGCAGAGAATACCATGACGAATAACGATGAAGTAGGGAATTGACTTCTTCATCTTCTTTCTTAGCTTGTTGTCAACCAGACAACAATGCAAACATACCCTTCTGATAAATAATACCACGAATTAGAATCAAGACTTTAGATATTTATTTAAGAACAATTTCCTCAGCTTACAAGTGTTTAAAATAGTCTTATATCAAATAAAATGTTGGGAAAGGACAGGGAAGTGGGGTTGAAGAGCTTAGGAGCTTTCTTATAGAAGAAGCACCTACCCCTCCCCCTGTCTCCTCACACACAAAGTACATACTCCTAGCTGTGAGACTCTCGCTAGGACTTTTGTAAATACTATCCTTTCCTACAATTGATGCTTTAACAGTTTATACCTCCTACCTTAGCCTTTGCTTATTTACAAAGCGTATATAAATGCTATAAATGCATTTTGCGTCAGCTGAAACAAAAGGATGTACTGCACTTAATTCAGTTTCGTTCTAGCTAAGTATTTAGGGTCTTCGCTGTTGAATAGGTTCCATTGGTACCCCATCAAATCCTTTGTTATGTCTGCCATCATGGTTTTGGCGGGGAGGTGTCTTGCGACAACAAAATCGCCATAGCAATATGGAAAAAACAGTTACAACAAAAATGACACCCAATACRACAAAAACAATAATCTTTACTGTATCACTAGTGGACACAGGTTTTTTGGTCGATTGAGCTATAATCGTTGATGTTTCTGTCGTTGAAAAGGAAGGTATGGCTGATGTACTGGTTGTTTTTTTATCTATCAAGAAGTAAATTAAATTCGTTAGTTAAAGTGTGGAGCAAAAAGTTCAAATGAATGATATAAATCAATAAACAAGTGACCAAACGAACAAATGATTAAAATTTGTAATTGAAAAAATTAAATAATAGTCCAGTTTTGAGTTCCACATTACCGCTGTGTTTCTCGATTACAGACTCACTTTCTCAGGGTACCAACGGTAAAGTAAAGAATTCACAATTTCAACAGCACAAACACTTTGATATTCACTGGAACACATGAATATTCTGCACAAATCGAGGCTGACCCTGAGCAACAGTGAACTCGAAACTGGAGTATTCGAGATTCAAAACGCAAAGAAAGAGCTAGAGGGAGAGAAGAGTGTATAGTGCGAGAGAAGAAGCAAGGGAGGAAGGAAAGGAGAAAAGATGTAAATTATATTTTCATCAAGATCATATTTTTCATCTTGATAAAGAAACGCAATTTACATTTTGAATAATTCACCAAGCACCAAAAGAACTAAATTTGAAAACATTTGAGGACAAGGGAGGATGGGAGTGAAAGATACCTGTTGATTTAGGTTTCTCTGTTTCTTCTGTTGTTGTTTTCGCAGTCGTAGGTTTGGTAGATGGGGTAGTTGTCGATGGTTGTTCGGTGGTAGGCGTTTTATCTTCGGTCGAAAGAACAGTCAACTTTACAGCCTTCTTTGATTCGCAGGGAGGGTCTCCATAGTCTGTTGCAACAACATCAAAGACATATACATCTGGTTGAAGTACCTCCTTCACAATAATCGTGCCATTGTATGGATCGATAGCAAAATAGCGCTGCATACTTGGTGGGGTAATGCCATAGGTCACATATCCATATTCGTCACTGTCAGCATCAGTGGCAACCACCGAGAAGAGCTCAAAATTCGAATCATCAATGTGCAGCATTGTTTTATCAATGGTGGTTGGATACCCATTAAAAACTGGACAGTTATCGTTCACGTTTCTAACCGTTATAAATACGTTTGTTTTGGTGAACTTTTGCGGAAATCCGTCGTCTGATGCAATTACCTCGATTTTGAAAGTTGCATTTTGAAGAGTTTCATAGTCGAAAACTACTCCCGATGACAGAGCTCCTGAGAAGCTGTTTAAGAGCAATAAACGACTATATCTATCTGAAATAAGAGAATACAGGATTTTTCCATTGCGACCGGTATCAGAATCGTTAGCGACGATCATTCCTATCGGTGTTCCGGCAGGTAAGCTCTCGTTTAAAATAAAGTTAAAAACGGTGAGGTTAAAGACTGGGGAATGCAAATTTGGTGGCGCCGGTTGATCACAGTACTTGCCATCGTATCCCCGGTAGCATTCACAAGTGTTTGGTGCGATGCAGTCTCCTTTTTGAGAACAGTCTTTATAAGCAGTACAGTTTGGAATGGTACAGGCGATTCCATACCACAAGCCTGAACACTTGCAAACATTATAATCGATGCATTCACCACGTCCTAAAATAGTCAGAATGAATCTTGTCTCAAAATCTTATGATATTGAAGATCATCGAAGAGATGATGAAAGCAGTTTTTTTCAAGGTCACATAAAAGCGTTTTTTTTTTTAAAGAATATTGTCTTCAAAATTCTGAGCTGCGTTCCGCTAACTTTTTTTTTTGATTAATGTATGTACAGCTGTATATATTTGAAAAGAGACTAAGCATCTAAGGTAGACGCTATTCTATATTTCATTGGGTTGGCTGTTACCTAGAAAGGCATCGCATAGCGTCCTTTTAGGTTTTACTTTACCTTATATCCAGATATTTATCCAGTATTTTTTTTTAACTCCAAAAGTGGATTGGTTAATAGTCACCGAATCCACTCATCTCCCCTGGATCCGCCCTGTAGTGTATATACAAGTCATTTGCGAAATACCTGAACAGAAGTTCAGCACCTCACAGGAGAAGTTGCTACAGTCATACCCAGTGTATCCAATGGTACAGTTACAAAGGTTAGCATCAATACATTCTCCATGGTCAGTGCAGTTATGGACTTCTGCACATGATGTTTCATTACATGTTGGGCCACTGAATCCAGAAAAGCA